CAGGCACACATACGCCTCATTTTCCGCAAACCATTGACATTGACTACTTGAAGGAAGTGGGATGGGGTGATGGAAAGAGGGTGCTTTTCTTTTTTCCTTGTGAGGTTATGTTTGGGTTTTTTATTTATTTATTTTTATTTATTATTTTTTTTTGTTTGGGTTTTTTAAAAGGGCCTGTATAGCCTGAATTTTTTTGCCCTAAATCCTGAAGGACACACTGTGTGTAGTACTTGGCCCTAGCGATGATTTCAGTTAACATTTGCTTTGTAGTTGGTTTTCATTCTCCGTATTTAGAAGACACTTATTTATCACTTTGCGAAGTGGCACTGTCTTAATTTAGTTGGCCAGGAAGCTTTTGGAAACTCTCAGAGTCATTTGTTACGACAATGATTTATTGGTGCAGAGCCCAAAGCAGAAAACCAAACCAAAACAAATAACTGAAAACTAAACCTTGAGCCTATATATTAATATGTATTTGCTGTAGATATTGAAACTTGTCTTGCTAGTCTGTGGCTCTAAATAGCTCCCGGCACACCCACACCCCTACCCCTACCTCAGTACCCACAAAAGCTACCCAGAGTGTTGTATTAAAAGTAGCCTCCCTCCGCCTTGGTCTAATGTCATGTAAATGCAGCTAAGCAGGGGATGTGCTGATGATTGTGTGGAAGGGAGGTTTGAGGCTCAGAGATGTGAAGGAAAACCCTGTATTACCTTAGGTTCTGGTGGTGCTGCTGCACTTAGGCAGCGGGGGAGGGGTGGAATGGGAGAGGATGGGCCAGATGGCGTGAAATTGAGGCTCTGAGAAAAAAACATATTCCAGAGGTATGGAGAGAGGATTGAATAAAGGAGGGCTAAGACACCTTTTTTGACATTTGTTGCGGTGTGTGTTTGAGAAGACAAATACAGAGAACATTTTGCAAATAGAAAACCAGAAAGTCCAACTTGAATAACTCCGAGGGTACGCTTTGATCTGAGGCCAAGAGTGGGATTGGGGTAGAGTGGGAGACTGGCCCTCATGAGTCAGCAGAGGCCAGAGGGAGCTCTGGCGTGGCTTTGTGGAGGATAAAAGGAGAACTAGAAAGAGGAACTGGTGTTGTCTCAACAAGCCTGATTTGTGGGTTAACTGTGCCAAGGGAAAGTGAGTAAGGAGCCTGAGGTGGTAGTTAGCTGCCTGTGTGACTCTGTAGACAGACATCCACTGCACAGCTCAGTGCCCTCTGCTTTCCACAAGCTGCCTCCCCGTGGGCCCTTCTGCCCATGGGGTGCAGAGTAGGGATGTGGCCAGCAGAGGAACCCTGGAACCCCGGAACAGTGGAGGAGTGGGGCCCTATGAGCCATGTGGCAAATTCTTCTCTTGTAACTGCACTGGGTACTTTAGGGACAAGGTTAAGGTAGAATTGGCCCCAAGGTAAACAAGGCCTGTCTCCAGCATAGTTAAGCTTCTGCAGCTATTATGAGTGCCTTCTTAATTCTGTTTTAAGATAATTTATGTGGAGTTGTGTTTATTGGACAAATGGAACCCAAACTCATCTTTGTGAGGGAGTTTGAATAAAAGATTTTATTGTTGGGGTGCCTGGGTGGCTCAATTGGTTAAGCGTCCAACTTTGACTCAGGTCGTGATGTCACAGCTCGTGAATTCCAGCCCCGCATCAGGCTCTGTGCTAACAGCTCGGAGCCTGGAGCCTGCTTCAGATTCTGCATCTCCCTCTCTGTCTGCCCCTCCCCTGTCTCTCTCTGAGACACGCTCTCTCTCTCTCTCTCTCAAAAATAAACATTAAAATTTTTTTAAAAATTAAAAAATACAAGATTTTATTGTTATGCTTCCATAGGGTAAAGATAACACACATTTTAATTTTATTTACTAATTATTTACTAATTATTTACTAATCAGGTTCCTTATATTTTGAAGGTATGATATTTTTTTAAAATTATTTTTTGTTGAAGTATAGCAGACATACAGTGTTACATTAGTTTCAGGTGTATAGCATAGTGATTCAACAAGTCTGTACCTTAAGCAGTGGTTACCGCAATAAGTATAGTTACCATGTGCCTCCTTACAAAGTTGTGGCAGTATTATTGACTATATTCCCTATGCTGTACTTTTCATTGCCATGACTTATTTATTTTATAAGTGGAAATTTGTATCTCTTAATCCCCTTTACCTATTTTGTCCATCCTTTCAACATCCCTCCCCTCTGGCAACCACCAGTTCTCTGTATTTATGAGTATGCTTCTATTTTTTGTTTGTTCATTTGTTTTGTTTTTTAGACTCTACATGTAAGTGAAATCATATGGTATTTGTCTTCCTGTCTGACTTATTTCACTTAGGATGAGACCCTTTAGGTCCATCCTTGTTGTTGCAACTGGCAAGATCTCATTCCTTTTTACGGCTGAGTAATATTTCATTGTATATATATAATGTATATTTCACTTATATATATTCTTTAACCATTCATTAGTGGACACTTGGGCTACATATCTTGGCTATTGTAAATAATGCTACAGTAAACACAGACATGCATATATCTTTTCCAATTTGTGTTTTCATTTTCTTTGGGTAAACATCCAGCAATAGAATTACTGGATCCTGTGGTAATTCTATTTTCAGTTTTTTGTGGAATCTCCATAGTGTTTTTCATAGTGGCTGCACCAATTTACATTCCATTAACAGTGCACAGGAGTTCCCCTTTTTCCATCACAAAGATATAAAAACTTTTAAGAAATGTCTCAAAGCCAGGGCGCCTGGGGGGCTCAGTCGGTTGAGCATCCGACTTCAGCTTAGGTCATGATCTCATGGTTTGTGAGCTTGAGCCCCACATGGGGCTTTCTGCTGTCAGCACAGAATCTACTTCAGATCCTCTGTCCCCTTCCCCCTCCCCCCCCCCCCCCCGCCCGCTCATTCTCTCTCTCAAAAATACATAAACATTAAGAAAAAAAAAATGTCTCAAAGCCCTTAAAACAGGCCTTTTCAGTTGTCTCTTCAAGTGAGCAGGAGCAGCCCAAGGAGAAGCCGACTTCAATTTAGCAACTTGCTGTGACTTTTTACAAACTACAGAATCAAGGGTGCCCTGATTGTCAGTCAGCTACCTTGTACTTAAAATAATGCCTCTTTCGTATGTATTTTAAAAGTGATAAATGCTCAGGGCACCTGGGTGGCTCAGTCAGTTAAGTGTCCGGCTCTTGATTTTTGGCTCAGGTCATGATCCTGGGGTAGTGGGCTCGAGCCCTGTGTAGGCTTCTCACTGAGCATGCAGCTTGCTTGGAATTCATTCTCTCTCTCTCTCTCTCTCTCTCTCTCTCTCTCTCTCTCTTTCTCCCTCTGCCTCTCTCCCCACTCACACTCCCTCTCTCAAAATAAAATAAAACATATTTAAAAGTGATAAAGGCTCATCGGAGGAAAATCCAGCAAAGTGTAAGAAAAAAAATTAAAGTACTCCTCACTTCACAGAAATAGCCCTAGTAATATTTTGTTATTTTCTTCAAGTTTTTTTCTAAAACATATTTTATATGAAGCACATAGACTTACAAGTATAAACTCTTGCAATACATAGGGGTTTTTATCCTGCTTTTTTTTTCACTTAATGTGATGCATATATCATAAGCATTTCTCCATATTCTATTCAGTTCTATTCAGTTCTATTTTTTTATCCTATGGATATAAGTTTGTATTTTTCTCTGACATGGATATGCCACGTTTATTTAACTGCTCCTGTTACTGATTGCTTCCTGTGCTTCAGCTTTGATTATTATGAAAAGTACAGAAATGAACATCCTTACACTTAAATCCTTGCATTCTCATGAGAGAATTACAATGAGGGTGCCTGTCAATCTTCATCCTTACCAGCACTGAATATTTTCATTTTCAAAAGTATTGGTAGGGCATGTATGTATTTTTACTTTAATGGGCTAGGTAATAAGTCATTTTCTGAAATTTATAGCTCATGCTAACTCTCAAGACTTCTAACAGCATAAGAAACAATTTTAGATTATATATACTGGAATGTGTTAGGATATAAATTGTTGTTTTAGATAATGGCATTTAGGGGATATAAATAAAAATCATAGATAATAGCTATATGTCTGTAGAAAAATGTATTTTAAATCTTGCAGTCTATATTTTGATCCAAAGTATAAACTCATAAAATATGTGTCTGAGCACCTAGAAATTCCTAAAATGCCTTATCTTATGGGTAGATCATACTTTCTGTAACCCTCTTAACTTCCTTGGTGTCTTACTGGTGTCAGAATGGTCAAGTAATGACACCAGTCTTTTATTGAATAAGCTTTCATCAAATACCCATTGCAATTATAACATTATTTTACGTGTGTGTGTGTGTGTGTGTGTGTGCATGTTAGTGCTCTAACCTAATGTTATATTACTAATACTTGGAGTTGTGTTTTTATTTCTCCTTATAATTCTTATTTTTACAGAGTCTGCTTTTTCAGTGTTCCTAGTATTTTTAGATCTTGAACCTATAGTCCTATACCAATATATTTACCTGAGTGAGTCCTTTTCTGAAAAGATTTGAAAAAAATTGTATCTGTTTCTGTGTATTAAACAGGCATTCACATAACTAGATTGAAAAATAAACCAAGAAGCATTTTAATAGTATTGTAATTCATCTTTTTTTAAACCATTGTATCTTCCATATAAGTTACTCCTCAAGTATAGCAAGCAAAAATTTATTGAGGAAAATCTTTCTCTAAAACCTTAAGCAAATAACTTCTTTATCAACCTTTTAGAAATCTTTTGTTTCAGGCTTTGAAAAGATAAGTCTAAGATTTTTCATGTTGGCTTCTTGGCAAAGAAACAAAGATTGCATTTACAGCCACTAAACTAGTAAATAATTCCGTAAGATTAAGTGTTGACTTGTGGTGGTGGCCAGGTTCACCGTGGCCGGCTCTGGTGCTGACCCGGTTACATGAAAGTAGTTACGCTTGGAGGGTCCCTTGTCTGAGAAAAATGCATAGAAAGCTAGAAGAATCACACGAACACTTACCAGAGAAATAAGTGCATGATGGCATCAGTGTACATCCAAAAATGAGTAGAAGGCATAGGCATGACACATTTGTTTTAATGCTTTCAAAGACTTCTGGCAAGGACTCCATGGCTCCCACAGGTTGGAACTGTCACTCTGGAGGAAGCGAGTGGCTGGGATTCCATCCATGCCCACTGCTGTGGGTAGAGGGGAGTGGTGAGTAGGGAGGCTCTGGACGGGCCTGTCTTGGGAAACATGTTGCTGGCATTCCAGAATTGAAAAATAGAAAGAATTTCCTCTAACTTAAAAATGATGCACTCTGGGGGTGCCTGGCTGGCTCAGTCGGTGGAGCGTGCGACTCTTGATCTCAGGACCGAGAGCTTGGGCCTCAAGATGGGTGTAGAGATTACTTAAAAAATAAAATCTTTAAAAGTAAATACAAGTTCTGAACTCTGTAACGCCCAGGTTCTTTCAGCACTCGTGCTTCAGTAATCTGGGTACTGCCACTGTTTGGAATATTAGTTCAGTGGGGAGACGGTTTCTAAGTGTCAGCAATTGAAGTGCAACGAATATTGGAAACCCAGCCTATTCATTAGTATGGTTACCCTACACAAGCAATTTCCTTGCCTTTTCTGGCTATTGATCTTTGTTTAGGGAGAGAAGACTGTACTTCGGTTCTATTTTTACAAACCTTCTGTGACCCTGCCCCCCCCTTAAATCTCTTCATTTTCCTTCCTTTTTTTTTTTTTTTTTTAACGTTTTTATTTTTTATTTTTGGGACAGAGAGAGACAGAGCATGAACGGGGGAGGGGCAGAGAGAGAGGGAGACACAGAATCGGAAACAGGCTCCAGGCTCTGAGCCATCAGCCCAGAGCCTGACGCGGGGCTCGAACTCACGGACTGCGAGATCGTGACCTGGCTGAAGTCGGACGCTTAACCGACTGCGCCACCCAGGCGCCCCATTTTCCTTCCTTTTTAAAAAAATTTTTAAAATGTTTATGCACTTTTGAGAGAGAGACAGATAGTGTGAATGGAGGAGAGGCAGAAAGAGAAGAGACAGAATCTAAAAGCCTCCAGGCTCTGAACTGTCAGCACAGAGCCCAATGCAGGGCTCAAACTCCTGAACTGAGAGATCATGACATGAGCTGAAGTCCGATGCTTAACTGACTGAGCCACCCAGGCACCCGTCTTTATTTTCCTTCTTGAGTATCAGCAACAGCATATTCAGTTACTTTCACTCCTTATTTTGAAACATCCACTGGATTTTGTTGTTGTTGGAGAAACTCACAAGATCGAAATATCTTTTAAAAAACATTCTGTTCATGTTGTGATTTGAACTGTTACTTGTTCTTCACACTAGGCTTGTTTTAAGGCAGGAAGTTTATTTGAAATGTAGAAGGAAATGAGGTTCTGGGGCCTGCTTCAAATTTATACTAGAAGCTACTGGCACAGTATTTAATCAGAAGCCAAAAACAAGAATCTGCTTCCATGATGGTTGATGAAGTCTAAGGACCTAAATTACCAATTTTTAAATGACATTTAGTTGGGTCTTACGCAAAATGAAAGTGAAAATCCCCTTGGCATTTTTTATTACTAAAGCCACATTTAGGATTAAAGACTATTTCCTCCTCCACATCCACACCCAGAAGAGGTGAGAATAACTTGTTCCTTTCACCCTCTTAGCAGTATGAAGGGAAATATGTTAGGATTTCGGCTCCTATCTTTCATGTTTATTATGTTACAAATATAATTAAAATGTTCCTACAGGTGATTATATTTTATTTTATTTTTTTTAATTTTTAAATGTTTATTTATTTTTGAGAGAGGGAGAGAGACAGAGTGTGAGCAAGGGAGGAGCAGAGAGAGAGGGAGACACAGAATCGGAAACAGGCTCCAGGCTCTGAGCTTTTAGTGCAGAGCCCGATGGGGGCTCGAACCCACAAACCATGAGATCATGACCTGAGCCGAAGTCAGATGCTCAACCGACTGAGCCACCCAGGTGCCCCCCGGTGACTACATTTTAAATGAAAAGGTATTTCTGGTCTGGAGATACCTAATTATCATTCCAGTCCCTAATCCAACAGTGTGTTTCTGTTTGTTTGTTTGTTACATTTATTCATTTTTGAGAGACAGAGAGAGCACAAGCAGTGGAGGGGCAGAGAGAGAGGGAGACCCAGAATCCGAAGCAGGCTCCAGGCTCAGAGCTGTCAGCACAGAGCCCAACGCGGGGCTCAAACTCACAAACCACGAGATCATGACCTGAGCCGAAGTTAGACGCTTAAGCTTAACCAACTGAACCACCCAGACACCCCTCCAACAGTGTGTTCTCTAGTGAGTCAGTATGCATCCTCTCCCACCTGATCGCCTGCAAAAACTAGGCTGAGGACATGGAAGTGGATATAAGCTTAAATCCATAAGCACTGATGGGTAAAATTCTAGCCTAGTTCATGGGTGGTGCCAAAAAGTTCTAGAATACTCACTTGGGAAGGATGTTTCTAGAGTAATTGTAAAATATGGCCTAGCATTTCAATGAAATAGTACAGCTTGAGGAACATGATCACCATCATCACCAGCAACATATGTGGTTTTGAGTTAGAAAAATACTTTTTCAATATATTATTTCATTTATGCCCTAAAATCCCTCTGTGAGTTAGTTGACGGGTTTGGGTTTGTTTTTTTGTGTGTGTTTTTTTTTTTACTTTTTTTTTTTTCAATGTTTATTTATTTTTGGGACAGAGAGAGACAGTGTATGAACGGGGGAGGGGCAGAGAGAGAGGGAGACACAGAATCGGAAACAGGCTCCAGGCTCTGAGCCATCAGCCCAGAGCCCAACGCGGGGCTGGAACTCACGGACCGCGAGATCGTGACCTGGCTGAAGTCGGACGCTCAACCGACTGCGCCACCCAGGCGCCCCTGGGTTTGTGTTTTGATCCCCATTTTATAATGAGTAAAGGGAGGCTCAAAGAGGCACTGATTTGTCAAAGCCAGGAGAGCAATTGGGACTTCTCTCTGTACTTCCTAAAATTAATCTGTCACATTAAACTTTAGTAAAATATTATATATACAATATATTATCATCAGGTAATAATCAAAAATAATCTTTATTGGAGCCTACAAGAGTAAAGGGCAATATGCTGAGCACTAGATTCCTCATTCAAGGAGATTATAATCTAGTTGGGAAGACAGGAAGTACTTATAAAAAGAGCAATAAAATTATCCACAAGTCTTACCACACCTCAGGTGTGAGACCAGTCTCCAGAAGCCGAGAAAGGAGTCAGGAAAATATCGTTAAGTTTATTCTATTTCCAGATGTTAAAAAATATTGCATTAGGTACAATTCATAGAGTACTATCCAAAGTAAATTCTATCACAGAATATTAGTACTTATAAATATGTACTGGTTAAGACCAGTACATGAAAAGGTCAAATGTTAGGAAAACCTTAATAGGGTGGCAGTAGCAAAATCCTGCCATTCTGTTTTCTGCACTGAAGCTATAATAATCTTTGTACAATACAAATGTGACCATTGTATTCTAGTCTGTTTCATTCTCTTCAGTGGCTCCCTGTTGTGCTCGAAATAAATAATACCAACAAGTTCTATATATTATATCGGGCACTAGGCTAAGATTGAACTGCATTATGCCTTTTCATCCCCCCTGGCTACCCTAACGGAAAAATATTATTACGTTCCTCCTTTTGTAGACGGGGAGACTTTGAGAAGTAGCTTCTCCAAGGTCATTGATCTAGTCAGTGGCAGAGCTAGGATTCTAATCTCTGACAGTCCCTAATCCCCTGCTCAGTGACCTCTTAGTAGTGTGTAGAAGGCCCTTCTTGATTAGGCCCTCCCCTGCTCCTCTTGTGGATTACTCTCTCATCCTTGAAGACTTCCTTAAGGCCCCACCCAGAGACTTCTGTGTCAACTCTGCTTGCTCCTGTTTTAACATATAGCATCGTGTATTTGGCTGTGCTTACCCCTCTCTCTTTCTTACCACTGGACTTGGTAGCAGGGACTGGGTCTTCACCATTTTAATTACTGATCACCAAACACACATCCCATCCAATTGTTGGTGCTAAGTTTGTATTTGTTGGATTAAAAAAAAAGAACATCTTAATTTTCATTGTAAGTGTCTAATATGCTATTTTGTGTTCTCTCCTGTCATCCCTCAGCATCATTTGTAGGGCCATCTGTGATCTGTTGCTATCCGCTAGCCTCAGATGCCCTTCAGCCCCAGTATTACCATTTTAAGGATCTTCTGTTTTCTCTTCTCTTCCCCCATCCTGGAATAGTTTTCCCTTTCATCTTTGCCCAAGGCAAATCCTACATATCTTTCAGGGTTCAAGTTAAGTCCCTCATTCTCTTGACAACCTCTGTCTGAAGTTTGGGCTCTCTGCTCTGAGCCCCAGAAGCATCCCATTGTCTGTTAACATTTTCTGTTAATTATGAGGTGCTATGTGGCTTCTCATCTGTTATTCTTGTGACTTATCATTTAAATCTTCCTTGTGTTTTGGGCTCAACTTGTCAACTATAAAGCAAGTCTTTGAGGCCCAAGACCATGTTTTTGACATCCCTGTCTAGTGAGACAGCATGCTAAGAGCACAGACTGTCTGGATTTGAATGCCAGCTCTCCTTCTTACTCCCTGTTAACCTTGGGCTAATCATATAGTTTCCCTGTGGCCCATTTTCCTCATTGTCAAGTTGGGAGAGTAATCATAGTCACCCCAGAGAACTATTGGGATTAAATGAGTTAATACATTTTAAACCCATAGCAGATATTACTTGTGTTGTTGTGTTGTAGTTAGTAATAATTGTGATGATAACATAGCCCGCTGAGCCCTTATTAAAGTAAAAATATGTTGTCAAGATGGCCAGCCACAAGGTATGCATTAGCCACTGTATGGATCAGTTTGCTTGTCACCCAGCAGACAGGTTTTGCTATGAGCCTGGGAAAGGTCCACCAGGAATAACAGGGATGGCAGGTTCTGGATTCTGGAAGGAGTTTCAGTCCAAGTGGAATACTGTTGGCAGCAACCCTGGGGACCACTGAGTATCTGGAGGGTTCAAGCTGGATTTTGGGGAATCAAGCTGGGCTGGAAGGACTAGAACCAGTTTTGATCTTACAGTTTGGCTGAGCCATTAAGGAGCCATGTCAAAATGCTCCAAAAGGGAGAGGAAGATTCTAAAACAGTCATTCACCTC